TCACACCTTGAGTAAAAATGTGGAATGCAGAGACAGTCAGGGCCCCCAGTAGCCGGGCAATGATGAAAAGCCGTAAGTATCCCATCACTTGAACCCATATTCCAGGCATACAATTCCTCTCCAGATGTATCAGACCATTGACGTTCATGTCTCGTGACCTCATCCTGTCTTTCGCCTCGTTGGCAATGATTTTTTCAATGTTGGCTGCCCTATGACGATTCTGCACTCTCATCAACTCATGACGATGCCGGATTTCCATCCTCTTCAGTCTCTCCACTTCCTCACGTTCGCCTGAAAATTAAAACACAAGGAATGCGAGGCAATAAAGTACCGTTGAAGCAAATATTAAGACAAAACAGACCGAACCTGGAGTGCTCTGTACAAATCTGGTCAGTGGACACCTGGAGTTCTGTGTGCAGTCCTGCTCAGATCACACATATGTTGTGTTTAAACGACAATAACTGGAAGGAGGATTAGAGCAGTGTAAGGGATCAAGTGTTCAACCCTGTCGTCTGCGCTCTGCTGGTCTAATCCTGCAACACGGATTCCCCTATATAAAAACAGAAGTCAATAGGAACACTCGGCAGGTCAGGCAGCTGTACGCACAAAGGAAAGTGAGTCAACCTTCGGGTAAATGTCATTTCGTCAGTACTGCGCGAAAACGAAGTGGGGAATATTGCAACAAAAAGGCTGGACGAGATAGAGGAAATCTGTATTTGCAATCTACGCATTCCCCACCCCCCACACACCCCAAGCCCCACTCTCCCCTCACCCCCGCCCACTGGGTTTCGCATCATTAATACTTATCTAACCCATCATCCCCCCATATTCTCCTTTGTCTTACTTGCCCTGCCTTTCCTGTTGTCACTTGGAAGCCTCACTATCCCAACATGCCCCAGTCCTGACGACGCCATGGAACCGAAACGTTGAACCGCTTTCTTTTCTTCATAGATGCCACCAGAACTTTTTTTTGTTCCAGATTTCCGAATTTCAGATTCTGATCCTAATAAATCATCCTGATTCTGTAAAGCTCTGTGACACGGCACTTGTAGCATTGTGTGCATCTCTGGGTGACGAAAAGTGGTTCAGTGCGTTCAGCTCGGGTCAGAAAACACCTGGAGTACTGTGTAGAGACTGCTGGATGTCGGATACAGAAAGTTTAACAAGGGATCCGGAATGTCAGAGTGGAGCAGAGCGCAAGGATTTGAAGGGATTTTTGCGTGATGATCGGCATTATGAATTCTAATGCCTGAGTGACGGTTGCTACTGGAGCCGAGCGAGGATTCAGGTGATGGGGTTCTGAGGCTTGATGCTCTCTGGGTTGTGGAAGGAATTGCTCGGAGGCCGACAAGGAAATCGATTCCGTAGTCGAGTCTTTAGGTGACAGATTAGGGTTTGGGCGACCTGAGATGTGAGGCATTAGCGGAGTGGGGCAATATTTCGGTGGCGGGGGAAGGCAGAGCGTCTGATGGGGCATAAATGACAGTACGTTGTCGAACAAAACGCCCAGGTTCCAAACTGGCTTGAGTCTGTTCGTGTTGGTCTGGGATGTGGACACATGGGACATCAACAGATAGCGATGCTTTCTAGTCCACGCTATTTTCGCTGTTTACTGTTTTCCCACTTTAGTGAATGTCACATTGGAAAAACCCAACGACAACATTGAGAGACCAAGAATTCACCCTCCATCTGTACAGTTACGTCACTCAACACAAGGATTATTGTTTACGTCTCTTGTTAGACCACACCTGGATTGCTGCGTTCATTTGCGGTCAGACCAAACCTCGAATGCCATGTAGGGATATATTATAATGAAACGGACTGGAATTGGAGCGAAAATGAGAGCATTGTAAGCGAGTGTTTATCAGAATATGTTGCAGCTGGTAACCTTGAAACCAAAAGGAGCAAAAGAGCTGACTTTTGTCAAGCAGCTTTCAGATTTAAAGGACGTCACTAGATGCTCAACAGTTGTGGATCAGCACCCGAGCTTAGGGGTGGCAGGGTTGGGATGAGGTAGGCCAGAGAGATAGAAGGATGGCTGAAGGCACGTAGGAAAAGGGGATTCTTCAGTAATACCTTGAGCAAAGCAAGGGCAGGAGCAAAGCGAACAGATTGTGGCAGAGATTCAGAAAGGGTGGGGTCAGAGAGCCTGAAATTCTGGCCGCCGATGGTAGGTTAGATCGAGTAGGACGTAACAAATTTGCCGAAACTGCTGAAAGCAGGGTACAGACAGTTTGATCAGGGATCAGCAGGTCAGAGACGTAACAGGGCGCAAGGCCATGGATGGCCTTGAGCGTGTGGATAGATATTTTGAATGCTATTATCTGAGCGATAGGAGCCAGTGGAGCCAGGCGAGGATGGGGTGATGGGATCATATCGACGGAGGCAGTGGCGGAGTCACGCAATGTTGCGTAGTTATGTGAAGGTAGAGCGGATCACAGTACGGAAATGGAAGAGAAAGTACATTTGAATGTCGAGAAAAACGACTAGTTCACTGATTGTCTTGGTCAGAGGAAATGTGCATCTGTGGATGTTGATGCTGCCAGAGCATGAGGTGAATAGGCGCTGACGGAGCGCAATGGGGATGGACTTGTTCTTGTAGACATTCAGCTCTAGAAAGACATCTCTCATCTGGGACATTATGATTGACAGATTTCGGTGTCATCCGCCAACGTGTGGAAGTTTCCCCATGTCTATGGATGCTGTCACCAAGGCGGACCATTTGCAAGTTAAAGAGGAGGGAACCGACGTCAGAACCCTGTGGAGAACCACACGAGAATGTGCGGGCGATGGAAGAAGGACTGTTGGCATAGAAAAGTTAGACACGATGTGGAAGTTAAGACCCATTCGATTCACGAAGGCGAGATTGTGGATGACGGTGGAAATGGTGAACGGTGTCGAAAGCAGCAGATGTAGAGGTGGACGTGGAGGCAGATGTAGCCCTGGTCACGAATGGACCGCATACGATTTGTGGCCTTAACCAGTGCAGTTTCCGTGCTCTGAGCTGGACGAATGAACGTGAACGGTGCAGGCAGGATGATAGGAGTGTCAGCAGGTCAGAAGGGTAGAGAATTGTTTCTATTTTTTCCAACCTTGTCTCTGATCACCATTATTTCTTTGCATTCTGTGACCTTCCCACATTTACAAATGAAACACATTTTTCGCTAGGCATGTTACAAATTCCTAAGCAATACGATAAGATCAAATATTAGCCAGCTGAAAAACCCTTGAAATGGTATTTCCTTCCGCAACAGACCTAATCTCGCGCATAGAAATCACCTGCCTCACAGTTCTTTCCACTCCCACAGTCCTCTCCGCCCCTATAGGCATCCGTTTTCATTTTTCCCACAGGACTCACCTCTGATTTCTTGCTCCATCGCTGCAGACTTCTGCTGGAACTCTTGATCAAATGAACATTGTTGCTCATGCAGTTTTAGAGCCATGGCTTCATGGTCCTCCTTCGATTTTCTCCTTTCTTCCTCCAGAGCCAACACCAAGTGTCGGATCTTTTCTTCTCTTACACGTTTCTCCTCAATCATCTGTTCGTGGATCTCAGTATCTTCCTCGCTCTGTCTCACCAGCAGGCTGATCCCTTCCTGTAGGTCTTGAACGGGACAACAAGGGGTGTCTAGTGATTCTATTGATGACCAAAACATGTGAGGCAGCGAACATTAGCCACACTGGAGGCTGTAATAATCAAAGCGCAACATTGAGAGCTACAGACGTCACCCGCAATCAGTACTGCTGTGCGCCACCACTCCTGGAGTACAGGGTACAGCTCTGGACAGACCACATCTGGAGTACTGCGTACAGCTCTCGCTAAAATACATTTGGGGTAATGTGCACAAATCTGGTCAGACACATCTGCATTAATAATTGCAGCACTCTTATAATAAAAAGAGAAGATGATGGACAGGATTGTGATGCAGCATTTGGCAGACACAGTTATATAAACTCTGTTGACTGTGAACAAGAACAACAAAATTCCACTTGAAAAGCGCCTTTCTCGTCGGAAGTACGTCAAAATGTGCTAAAAAATTATGGATCAGGTCCCGAGCCTGGGATGGGAGCGTTTGGATGAGAAAGAATTGCAGAATTGCAAGAGGGCAGCTGAAGGTACGATGTGTCTTCATTCATGCGTTGCCTTGAACGAGGTAAGGGAAAGAGCAATTAAAAGAGACCGTGGGATAGTGCCAAATTTGGGGGCGAAGAGGCTACATCTTCCGCCTGCGATGAGTGGGTCGCTCGGCTGGGAGACATGAAGCAGGCCGGAGAAGGCTGAAAGCAGATCCTAATCAGCTTGTCAGGGTGTCAGCATTTCAGAAAGGTAGGATGGCGCAAGACCAGGGAGGGAAAAGAATATAAGCCCGAGCATTTTGAAGTCAATTATCTTAAGTACGGGAAGCTTTTGGTGCCGGGCGAGGCTTGGCATGATGGGGTGAAGGAGCAGGGTGCGGGAGAAGACAGGAGCGGCAGTTTCTAAATAATCTGCTGCTTGTGGAGCGAATAATTGAGGAGGCCGAAAAGTGTGGAATTGCTGCAGTGGTGCCTTGAGGTGACGGAAGCGTGCAGTTCGGAATCAGTGGTCTAACGGTTAAGGAATTGCCGTAATCGGGCATCGGTGCGGAGGTGGGAAACGGTAGAACGAGTATTAATAATAATAATAATCCTTCCATTTGATATAGCGCTTTTCACGTCTTGACAAGGATATGGCGGTGAAACGAGATTTGTTGATCGAAAAAGATAACCAGTTTCCACACTATCTTTGCGAGATGAAGTCTACATTAATGCACCCTGATGCTGCCAGTATCCGAGGTGCGGAGACGCAGCGCGAGCCTATCAGGATTCCCTCGGTCTTGCTGACCATCAGCTGTGGAAAGTTGCCTCTCAGCCAGGACATTTTGTCAGAAAGATTTACGTGTCATCCCCAAACATGTGGAAGTTGACCACTTGTCTGCGGATGATGTCAGCAAGTGGTTTATTTCAAAGCTATAGAGGAGGGAACTGAGGACAGAAGCCTAATAGTAATCCCTCCAAAAACCCCAAACAATAATTAAATTGGTCATTTTCAATCAAAGACTCTTTGTGGGACATTGCTGTGCGCAATTGCCTGCAGCGTTCGCCCACAAATATACAGTCAATTCACTTTACAGTGTGTTCTGTGAAGCGCTTTGGGACGTCCTCCTGACGTGAAAAGCGCTATATCAAATGCAAGAATTATTATTATTATTAGAAACCCGAGGAAAACCACACGAGAATGTGCGGGGGCTGGAACAATAACTTTTACCCTAGAAAGATTGGAGACGATATGGAAGTTAAAACCCAGTCGATTCAGCTACAGAATGTTGTAGTTTCAGATGGGAGGCGAGGTTGTGGAGAAGGATTTATTGGTGCACGGTGTCGAAGGCAGCAGAAGAAGAGGATGACGTGGAGGCAGATGTAGTCTAGGTCACAGATATCATTTGCGGCCTTAACCAGTGTCATTTCTGTGCTATGTGCTGGGTGAATGAACAGTGCAGGCAGGATGGTATGGGTGCCAGCAGGTCAGAAGGGGACGGAATTGTTTCTATTTTTTCCAACCTTCTCTCTGATCACCATCATTTTTTGCTGACTGTGACCTTCCTACATTTAGAAATGAAAAACATTTTTCGCTAGGCATGATACAAATTACTATGCAATGAAATAAGATGAAATGACAGCCAGCTGGATGACGCTGGAAAATACCCTCCGCAACAGACTTAACCTCGCCCACAGAAATGACCTCCCTCACAGGTCGATCCCCCCCCCCCCACACCCCACAAACACACACCCCTCCTCCCCACACACACCGACAGGCATCACCGCATATATCGGATTCAACTGGCCCCAGGCTTCATTTTCCCTGCAGGACCCACCTTTGATTTCCTGCTTCATTGCCGCAGACTTCTCTTGGAACTCTTGTCTCAATAAACGTTTTTGTTCCTGTAGTTTATGAGCCATGGCATCATGGTTCTCCCGTGAATTCCTCGTCTCTTCCTCCAGAGTCACTTCCAACTGTCGGATCTTTTCTTCTCTCAGACGCTTCTCCTCATTCAGCTGTTGGTGGACCTGAGAACCATCCTCGCTCTGTCTCACCAGCTGGTTGATCCTTTCCTGTAGGGCTTGAACGGGACAATAAGGGGTGTCACGTGATTGTATTGGTGACCAAAACTTGTACAGCAGTGGACGTTAGTCACATAGGAGGCTGGAATCATCAAAGCGCAACGTTGAGAGCTCCAGACTTCACCCACAATCAGTACATCTTTGTGTCAGCAATCCTGGTGTACTGCGTACAACACTGGTCAAACACATCTGGAGTAGTGCGTACAGCTCTCGCTAAAATGCATATGGGGTAATGTGCACAAATCTGGTCAGACACATCCGCATTAATATTTGCAGCACTATTACAATAAAAAGGGCAGATGATGGAGAGGATTGTGATGGAGCATTTGGCAGGCACAGTTATATACATTCTGTAGAATGTGAACAAGAACAACAAATTTCCACTTGAAAAGCGCCTTTCAAGTCGGAATTACGTCAATAAATGCTGAAAAAGTATGGAACAGGTTCCGAGCTTGGGATCGGAGAGTTTGGATGAGAAAGGGCAGAATTGCAACAGGGCAGCTGAAGGCACGATGAAAACGGTGTGTCTTCATTCATGCGTTGCCTTGAACGAGGTAAGTGAAAGAGCAATTAGAAGAGGCAGTGGGGTTCCAAATTTGGGGGCGAAGAGGCTGAACCTTCCGCCAGCGATGAGTGCGTCGCTCAGGTGGGAGACATGAAGCAGGCCGGAGAAGGCTGAAAGCAGAGCCAATCAGTTTGTCAGGGTGTCAGCATTTCAGAAAGGTAGGATGGCGCAAGACCAGGGAGGGAAAAGAATATAAGCCCGAGCACTTTGAAGTCCATTATCTTAAGTACGGGAAGCTTTTGGTGCCGGGCGAGGCATGATACAAATTACTATGCAATGAGATAAGATGAAATGACAGCCAGCTGGATGACCCTGAAAAATACCCTCCGCAACAGACTTAATTTCGCCCACAGAAATGACCTCTCTCACAGGACTAACCCCGCCCCCCCCCCCACAAACACACTCCCCTCCTCCCCACACACACCGACAGGCATCACCGCATATATCGGATTCAACTGGCCCCAGGCTTCATTTTCCCTACAGGACCCACCTTTGATTTCCTGCTTCATTGCCGCAGACTTGTCTTGGAACTCTTGTCTCAATAAACGTTTTTGTTCCTGTAGTTTACGAGCCATGGCATCATGGTTCTCCAGTGAATTCCTCCTCTCTTCCTCCAGAGTCACTTCCAAGTGTCGGATCTTTTCTTCTCTCAGACGCTTCTCCTCATTCAGCTGTTGGTGGACCTCAGAATCATCTTCGCTCTGTCTCACCAGCTGGTTGATCCTTTCCTGTAGGGCTTGAACGGGACAACAAGGGGAGTCACGTGATTCTATTGGTGACCAAAACTTGTAAAGCAGTGGACGTTAGTCAAATAGGAGGCTGGAATCATCGAAGCGCAACGTTGAGAGCTCCAGACTTCACCCATAATCAGTACATCTTTGTGTCAGCAATCCTGGTGTACTGCGTACAACACTGGTCAGAACACATCTAGAGTAGTGCGTACAGCTCTCGCTAAAATGCATATGGGGTAATGTGCACAAATCTGGTCAGTCACATCTGCATTAATATTTGCAGCACTATTCTGATAAAAAGTGCAGATGATGGAGAGGATTGTGATGGAGCATTTGGCAGGCACAGTTATATACGCTCTGTAAACTGTGAACAAGAACAACAAAATTCCACTTGAAAAGCGCCTTTCACGTCCGAATTACGTCAATAGATGCTAAAAAATTCTGGATCAGGTTCCGAGCTTGGAATCGGAGAGTTTGGATGAGAAAGGGCAGAATTGCAAGAGGGCAGCTGAAGGTACGATGTGTCTTCATTCATGCGTTGCCTTGAACGAGGTAAGGGGAAGAGCAATTAAAAGAGACCGTGGGATAGTGCCAAATTTGGGGGCGAAGAGTCTACATCTTCCGCCAGCGATGAGTGCGTCGCTCAGGTGGGAGACATGAAGCAGGCCGGAGAAGGCTGAAAGCTGAGCCTAATCAGTTTGTCAGGGTGTCAGCATTTCAGAAAGGTAGGATGGCGCAAGACCAGGGAGGGAAAAGAATATAAGCCCGAGCATTTTGAAGTCAATTATCTGAAGTACGGGGAGCTTTTGGTGCCGTTCGATGCTTGGCATGATGGGGTGAAGAGCTGAGTGCGGTAGAAGACTGGAGCGGCTGTTTCTAGATAATCTGCTGGTTGTGGAGCGAATAATTGCGGAGGCCAAAAAGTATGGAGTTGCTGCAGTGGTGCCTTGAGGTGACGGAAGCGTGCAGTTCGGTATCAGTGTCCTAATGGTTAAGGAAGTTGCGTAGTCGGGCATTGCTGCGGAGGTGGGAGAAAGCAGAACGAGTCTTGACAAGGATATGGTAGAGAAACGAGATTTGTTGATCGAAAAAGATAACCAGTTTCCAGACTGTCGTTGCGAGATGAAGTCTACATTAATGCACGCTGATGCTGCCAGTATCCGAGTTGTGGAGACGCAGCGCGCACCATTCTGGACTCCCTCGGTCTTGCTGACCGTCAGCTGTGGAAAGTTGCCTCTCATCCAGGACATTATGTCAGAAAGATTTCGTTGTCATCCCCACACATGTGGAAGTTGACAACTTGTCTGCGGCTGATGTCAACAAGGTGGTTATTTGGAAGCTAAAGTGGAGGGAACTGAGAACAGAAACCTGAAGAAAATCACAGGAGGATGTGCGGGGGCTGGAAGAATAACTGTTACCCTAGAAAAATTGGAGACGATATGGAAGTTAAAACCCAGTCGATTCAGCTACAGAATGTTGTAGTTTCAGATGGGAGGCGAGGTTGTGGAGGAGGATTTATTGGTGCACGGTGTCGAAGGCAGCAGAAGAAGAGGATGACGTGGAGGCAGAAGTAGTCTAGGTCACAGATATCATTTGCGGCCTTAACCAGTGTCATTTCTGTGCTATGTGCTGGGTGAATGAACAGTGCAGGCAGGATGCTAGGGGTGCCAGCATGTCAGAAGGGGACGGAATTGTTTCTATTTTTTCCAAACTTCTCTCTTAGCACCATTATTATTGCTGTCTGTGACACTCCTACATTTACAAATGAAACACATTTGTCGCCAGGCATGATACAGGTTATTAAGCAATGAAATAAGACGAAATGACAGCCAGCTGGATGACCCTGAAAAATACCCTCCGCAACAGACTTAATTTCGCCCACAGAAATGACCTCTCTCACAGGCCTAACCCCCACCCCCCCCTCCCGACCGCCCCACCGCCCACATAACCCTCCTCCCCACACACTCCCACAGGCATCATCGCATATATGGGTTTCAAATGGCCCCAGGCTTCATTTTCCCTACAGGACTCACCTCTGATTTCCTGTTGCATTGCCGCAGACTTCTCTTGGAACTCTTGTCTCAATGAACGTTTTTGTTCCTGCAGTTTGCCAGCCATTGCTTCATGGTTCTCCCGTGAATTCTTCCTTTCTTCATCCAGTGTCACTTCCAAGTGTCGGATCTTTTCTTCTCTCAGACGCTTCTCCTCAATCAGCTGTTGGTGGACCTCAGAATCATCCTTGCTCTGTCTCACCAGCAGGTTGATCCTTTCCTGTAGGGCTTAATCGGGACAGAAAGTGGTGTCACGTGATTGTATTGGTGTCCAAAGCTTATGAGGCAGCGGACGTTAGTCACACAGGAGGCTGGAATCATCAAAGCGCAACGTTGAGAGCTCCAGACTTCACCCTCAATGAGTACAGCTTTGTGTCACCAATCCTGGTGTACTGCATACAGCACTGGTCAGAACACATCTGGAGTACTGCGTACAGCTCTCGTTAAAATAGGATGGATTAATTTGCACAAATCTGGTTAGATGGTTAGATGGGGGTGGTAGCGGAGATGGATCATGTGCCATTCGCCACTTCGAGCCTGCCCCGCCATTCAATCATGGCTGAACTTCTAATCGAACTCCAGCTAATAACCTGACCCTGCCTTATCCCCATATCCCTTAATCCCTTTTGCAATAAGAAATCTATTTATTTCAGTCTTGAATATGTTGAAGAACTGAGCGTCAACAGCCCTTTGGGTTCGTGAGTTCCATACATTCACCACCCTTTGAGTGAAGAAGTTCTTCCTCAACTCAGTGCGAAAGGGCTGGCCTCTGATTTTAAGATTGTGACCCCTGCTTTTAGTTTCTACAACCAAGGTAAACAATCACGCACTATCTACGCTACCATGCCCTTTGATGATCTTATGGATTTCCATAAGATCCCCTTTAATTCTTCTATATTCTTGAGAATATAGGCCCAAATTGGTCAGCTTGTCCTCATAACTCAACCACTTCATCACTGGTACTAATCTAGTAAATCTACGCGGCACCCCCTCCAGGGCAAGTACATCCTTCCTTAAATGAGGAGACCGAAACTGGACACAATATTCCAGGTGTGGTCTCACCAGGGCCCTGTACAGTGCAGCAAGACTTCCCTACCCTTAGACTCTAATCCTTTATTAATGAATGCTAATGTACCGTTCGCTTTCCTCATTGCTTGCTGCTCCTGCAGACTAACTTTCTGTGATTTGTGTACAAGGACACCCAAATCCCCTTGGAGGCTAACACATTCCAATCTCTCCCGTTCTAAAAAATAACCCGCTCTGCTGTTTTTGCTACCAAGGTCGATGACTTCGCACTTTCGTACGTTATACTTCATCTGCAACCCACCTGCCCAATCACCTAACCTATCTATGTCTCGCTGCATTTTTTAATGTCGTCCTCTTTGTTGACACTTCCTCCTAGTTTTGTGTCATCCGAGAATTTAGATATATTAACTTCGATGTCCTCATCAAGATCTTTGATGTAAATGGTAAGTAGATGAGGCCCAAGGACTGATCCTAGTGGCACTCCACTATTCACATCCCGCCAATCTGAAAAGGACCCGTTTATCCCTTCTCTTTCTTTCCTACCTGTTAACCATTCACCAATCAACGTTAATATGATCCCCCCAATTCCATGTGCCCTTAACTTTTGGAATAACCTTTTATGCGGCACCTTATCGAATGCCTTCTGGAAGTCCAAATGGACCACATCCACTGATTCATCCTCATCTTTTTACTGGAAGTATCCTCAAAAATTCCAAGAGATTTGCCAAACATGACTTCGCTTTTGTAAAGTAATGTTGACTTGGCCTAATCATATTGTGCTCCCTTAAATACCGCACTGCTACGTCCTTAATCAGTGATTCTATTTTTTTCCTATCAGTGATGTGAGACGAACTGGCCTATAGTTTCCCATCTTTTCCTTTCCACCTTTTTTTAAATAGTGGTGTGACATTGGCGATCTTCCAATCCATGGGAGCTGTTCCAGAATCCAAGGAATTTTCGAAGATCAAACATAAGGCCTCCACTATCTCATAAGATACCTCTTTTAATACCCTGGGAGGGAAGTCATCCGGACCAGGGGATTCGTCACTTTTCAGTGCTAACAGTTTCCCTAGCACCAATTCTCTACGAATGAAAATTTCGCTCAGTTGCTCGCTGTACTTATCCCTTTGATGCATCTCTATTGTTGGCAGACTTGGTATTTCTTCTAGGGAGAAGACAGATGCAAAGTACCCATTTAGGGACTCTGCCATGTCCTTGTCCCCCATTACAACTTACCCAGTCTCTGACTGAATAGCCCTACATTTACCCTCACTAGCCTATTCCTCTTAATATATCTGTAAAAATTTTAACAGTCAGACTTGATGTTCCTATCTAGCTCCTTCCTCACACTCCTTCTCGCTTTTAATGAGATTTTTAGTTTTGTTTTGCTGGTTTCTAAAACTCTCCCAATTTTCAAATTTGCCGCTTTTCTTGGCAGTTTTATGAACCTTTTCTTTTAATTTGATGCTTTTCTAACTGCTCTAGTTAGCTACGGATAAATTGTTTCACTGCGATGCTCTTATTCCGCAGGGGAATATGCGACCGCTGAGAAATTTGCACTACACCCTTAAATATTTGCTACTGTTGGTCAATATTTTTACCTCCTAATGTTATGCATCCAGAGGCCTCAGCTCTCCTTCCACCCTGTCTTCCCACACAGCCCCGACCTCCCCCACAGCTCCGAGCAACCGCACAGCCGCGACGCATGCCACAACCCTGACCTCCCATACAGGCCTCCTCCCAACACACAGGCCACACCTTTAATCTGAAACTCCTTTCCTGCGGAATTCTCCTGGAACTCTTGACTCTGAGAACGCTGTTGCTTCTGCAGTCTACGATCCATGGCTCCCTTGTCTTCCAGCAACTTCTCCGTCTCATCCTCCGGAGCCACTCCCAGGAGACGGATATTTTCCTCACTCAGACGCTTCTCCTGAATAAACTGTTGGTAAGCCTGAGAATCCTCCTTCCTCGCGCTCTCCATCAGTTCTATTCTCTTGAGTTGAGCTGGTAATGGTGGAAAAGGGGAATGTGAATGTGTCTAACAGTGTTCAAACAGTGTGAGGCAGCGAACACCAGTTCAGATTAGCAGGATGCACTATGTGGCATCACAAAACTCAGTGCCCAAATTATCAGCGATAACCTGTACAGTTCTGTCATACCACAATTGGAGTAATGTACACAGCTCTTCACATCATCAACAACAACACCAAGATTCCATTTATAGAGCGACTTTCACGTCGGGAGGACGTTCCAAGGCGCTGTAAAGTAGGGTCAGGACCCGAGCAGGGGCAAATGGTCAGGGTGATGTTAGGGAAGGGAGGGAGCGAGGAGTGGTTAGAGAATCGAGAGGGGAGCTGAAGGCACGGTCAAAGAGAACGGTCTTGAGACCAGCCTTGAAGGAGGAGAGGGAGGAAGCAAGGCGAAGGCACTGGAGGATAGAGTTCCAGAGCCAAGGGGCTGAGAGGCTGAAGGCTCGGCCATCGATGGTAGGGCGGTTGGTGCGGTGGATGTGGAGCAGACCGGAGGCAGAGAAACGAAGTGTACGGGCAGGTAGGTAGGGGGATAGTAGGTCTTAGAAGTAGGAGGGAGCAAGGCCGTGAATGGCCTTGTCGGTGAGGATGAGGATTCTGAAATCGATCCTCTGGGTGATGGGGAGCCAGTGGAGGCGTGCGAGGGTGGGATTGATTTGGTCCCGAAGCCTGGTGTGGGACAGTATACGAGCTGCAGAGTTCTGAATGACCTGCAGCTTGTGGAGGGAGGTGGCGGGAAGGTCGGCGAGGAGAGAGTTCCCATAGTCCAGCCTTGAGGTTATAAAGGCCTGGACCAGAATTTCAGCAGCGTGAGGGGTGAGGTAGTGCCGTCGTCTGGCGACATTCCGGAGTTTGGATTACGGTTTACAACGCTCTCACGCAATAACTGAAGAAATGTGTAAAGATCTGGTCACACACCTGGAGTACTCTGGGCAACTCAGGTCAGACCAGACCGGGAGTAATTTGTAAAGTTATGGTAAGGCAACTCATGGGGATCTGTGTGCAGCTCTGTTCAGACTTCAGCTTGAATACTATCTATACCCCTGTGCTGATATGAAAAGGCAGGAATTCGATTGTAGGAGAAAGGCACTGGAGGTATCAGGGGCTACATCCTTTCGTCCACATACTTTTGGACCCAAACGAATATAGATTCGCTTGTCTCTATCTTTAATTTTCCGTTTCTTCAACTTTACATTTTCCTGTATGTTTCTTCCCTGTATAAATGAATGAAATACACCTTTCTCTCGGCACAAAATAATTGATCAAATGATAAGACAAGGTCAGAGGCTGTTAAGCTCAATTGATCAGCAACTTGTATTAACCTCTTCAAGGGGCCTGATATCCTGTTAGCCCTCACCTTTCTTCTGATTCTGCAATTCTGCAACTTCCTTCTGGAACTCTTTTCTCAGTGAATCTTCCTGCTCCTGCAGTTTATTAGCCGTGGATTTGTGTAGCTCCTCAATCTGTTCAGACGATACCTTGATTGCTATGTACAGGTCTGTATTTTAAGGAAACAGGGGAAAAATGGAGGAAAGGTGAGAGGATTGTAAAGATATATATTGTTTCTAACTCTGTTTTGTGATGAAAGAGCAGGAATTGCAGGGAAAGATGAATGTATCTGATCTTGTGCTAGAAAATGTCGACCTTTTCTCTGCTTGTCTTACACAGCGACAGAGAGTTTTCTGTCTCTATCTCCTACTCTCCGGTAATAGATATTTTTGTTGCTGGTTTGGGCGCTACGCCCTCCTCGATTCGGATTCTCAACTAAATTCCAAATTCCTGACTGTCCAGCGACGGGGACATTCTCTCGACTAGAAAGGCGCTGTACAAATGTCATGTTTTTACTATGAATTGAATGAAATTAAGAACTTCCCTCGGCACAACATATTGCTTCGATTCATAAGCCAAGGTCTAAGGCCTCCAGTGAGCTCAATCACGCTGCAACCTAATTAACACAATCCACTTGACTCGTCTCCAATGCAAGACTCACCTTCCATCTGCTGCTGCATCGCTGCAGTCTTATCCTTCTCTGCTCTCAGTAAACGTTGCTGCTCCTGTAATTCAATTGCCGATGCTTTCTGCTCCTCCACTCTCTTCTTATTCTGTTCGTCTAGAGACATTTCCAAATGTTGGATCTTTTCCTCTCTCAAACGCTGCTCTGCAGTCAGTAGCTGGTGAGCAATAGATTCCTCTTCCCTAGCTTCCTTCATCAGTTCTGGTTTCTTGGGTTCGGCTGTTGAACAAAGGCGAAGTCAGGGTGGATATCAGTTTCAAAACAGTGTGAGTCAGCGACCACCTGTCAGACAGGAGACCGGCAAACAGCACTTCATAGCTTTCATAGCCACACGTATCACTCTCAATCTGTAGAGTTCTGGCACACCACACCTGGTGTATTGGGTACAGCCGTTTGTTTTAATGAAAGGCGAGTAATAGGAGTGATGGCAAGTGCAGAGTTAGGATCGTTTGATAGAATCTGTTACCGGTCTGGTGGTCTGAGATTGTATCAAGCAATCTCTTTGTTTCTCAACTTTACTCTGCTCCCAGATTACCCCAGACCTTGCCAGACTGCAACGGCTGCCTGTCCCAGAGAATATCGACTGGAATGTCCTCGCTCTTGTCTTCAAATCCCTCCACTACTATGCGCCCCAGTAACTCTCATCTGTCCTCGCTCCTTACACCAGTGCCCGTTGCCCTCGTTTCACCGGGTCTGGCCTCCTGCTTGTAACTCGAAATCTCAGCTCCACCATTGGCGGCCGTTCCTTCAGCCACTACTCCCCGAGGCTCTGGAACTCCCTTCCTCACTCCATTCGCATCAACCCCTCTCTTCTGTTAGCAGGTCTCGGCTGAACACCTTTCATTTTGACTGCACCTTTGGACACATTGTTCACCCTCCCCCTGGCTCAATCCCGGGATCGTTTTCTGTGAAGCGCTCTGAGATGCCGTCCGACGTAGAGGGCGCTATCTAAATAAAACTTGTTGTTGTTTTCTCTGCTACTCAAATTTTTTGTGTCTTCTGAACCATATTGCTATATATATTTACGGCACACAAGAAGGCCATTCAGCTCATTGCTTTCATGCTTGCTCCCGCAAAAGCAATAATTTGTCCCATTTGTTAGTCATACTCATACTACAGTAGGATTCATCTTCGTACCACAATGAACCCATGCTCGCCAGTATCCATTGGTTCCCATCACAGAGTGAATTGACTTCAAGATCCTCACACTAATCTGCAAGTTCTCTGTTGTGTTGGATAGAACACTCACCTCATAAACTAAAGAAACTGGGTTCGATTTTTGCGCAGGGCGAAACGTTTCGCAAGTTTCTTTCCTCCATTTGATAATCAGTGGCTGATTTGAATCCCATTTTTTGGGAAGTGGTAATCCTCACCTATCACCTCACGGATGTCACATCTCCGGCCTGCTCCTCCTCCCTCCATCGATGGTTAGTTTTTCGGACTCTCTGCCTACTACTCTTTGGATTTCCATCCGACAATTCCTCCGTCTGTCTCCCTAAATTTGTTCCTTCAAGGTACATCTGAAGCTCATTCTCATTCACCGCGCTTTTGGTCAACCTCTACCCTCGCTGGTCAACTTACTATGTCTATCTTCCCAACTTCTTGATTCCTACATCCAGCTCGAATTCATATCCCTGATTATCCAGCGCGTTGTGACGTCCACCCGGTATGGAAGACGCTCTACAAATGTAATTAATTTAAGTTTACATTTTAGATGTCAATTTCTCTGTGATGTACCATTCTGAACAAGCCACTGTGATGCCCGATATCACGAACCTCTGAGCGCCGTTTCTTTCCCAGACAAAGTGATGGAAGTTTGCTGGACAATCTGATGCTGCTCCTTGTTTTTCGGGAACTCGTGGTGAGTGTCTTTTGCCTGGGGTAGGGTTACACAATCCATCAGTGATACTCAACGCTCACGAATAGGTGGAGTACTTGAAATAATTATCTGACACATTCAGTTTTCCCCATAAGTGCAGTACTCCCTGCCTCACCTCACCCAAAAAGAGCATTCTTCCTCGAATTTATCAGGCATATGACTGATTATTCCTACCGTCCGCTTGTTTGGCTCTGAGCTATTCTCTTCACAAATTGCGGAGCATCTAGATCTCTACAGCTTAAATCCCCTCTCAATTTGGGACCTGTGGAGCCGGTGAGGATCTGTGATTTTGATTCCAGAAAATCAAATTCATGATTATTGTCCTTTGAGGTGAAATCCCTCAGCGGTCTCACGTCCAAACGACCTCTGCATAGCTACCGACCAAGCCGTTCCCACCTTTCGGTTAGCTCTGTTTTCATGTCGTCTTCCTCATCGATTCCACAATCGGCGTGTGAACTTTTAGCAATTAACTTCATCCCATCCTCTTCCCAACCCCACTCTCACTTCATAACTATCGTGCAAGCCCCCTAAAGACAAATAAAGACGGACCTGGAGTCCTTTTCCAGGATTCTTGTGATATTTGCTGATCATTGCATCCTTATCATTCTCAAACTCAGCATATCCTCCCGGTCTGTCGAATGCTCCTCCCCTCATTCTTTTCTCTATGGGCTCAAGCAGCTCCGGCAGATCACGTTCAGAAAGCTCAAAATTTTTCTGGAAAATCTCATACAGCGTGGCCATATTTCTCTAAAAATATAAAAAATATTCCATGGTTTATGAGTGTTAATGACCTGGAAAAACAATTAAGGTCGTTGAGACATTACATCCAGGCTCTCACGTACTCTGCTTCGACCTCAGCTCCATAGCCACATCCTCTCTTTTGCACATCATCTGTTAATAAGACTCTCATCCACAACATCATAACTCTACATAGTTTTAGATTTGTAAAGGGCACTTTCGCTTCTGAAGATTTCCTTTAAAAAATCAACGATTGAAACAGATTGCCAGGAATGGTTGTTGAAACCAGGACACCGGAGACATTTAAAAGTCAGCTCAATGCGGTGGATGGTAGGGTATGTGTTCTGTTGGATTGCGATCAGTTGCTGTCAAGAACTTTCTGCATTCAAATCTATCGTCACAACTTGTCATCGAAAAGCTTGACTTTCCAAATGCACTTTCCGCTAAAACTCCCAGGCTCTTTTCTACTCAACCTGCAGACATGGAGAGCTGTGCCAGAAAACAGTGTGACGCAGAAAATTATGGGAGCATACATTCCGACTAAAGAATACATCTATATCAAATCAGAGTGATACTAAAGGTGAAAAACAGAGAGTGGGTGTTACATAAATTACATTTAATGTGGGAAAAGCGGGTAGAACAATTGTGGAGTCCTGTAGCTCAGTGGTTAGAGCACTCGCTTTGCAAGTGAGAGACCTGAGTTCAATTCCAGGCAGAGGGCGAAACCTTGGGCAAGTTTCCTTAATCCACACAGAGCCTAATAATAATCCCTCCAAAACCAAAAACAATAATTAATTGGTCATTTTCAATCTACGACTGTTTGTGGGACATTGCTGTGCGCAATTGGCTGCCGCGTTCGCCCACAAATATACAGTCAATTCACTTTGCAGTATGTTCTGTGAAGCGCTTTGGAACGTCCTCCCGACGTGAAAAGCGCTATATCAAATGCAAGGATGATTATTATGTAAAGAAAGCTGATCGAATACTAAGATTAAAAATAGCGGCTTGAATATAATAATCATTGTTAAATTTGGTACAGAACCTTTCCATGGAAAGGATGTCCCAAAGCGCTTCACGGGACATTATGCAAGATTAGTGACTGTGCGTTTTATGGAGTTATGCAGCAGTGAAATTGCACTTCTTCACGATTCAATCACATCAGCCATTGAGTGAGTAACCAAATTTTATCTGGGGGAACTTTTGCTCAGGATGTTGTGAGAGTGAAACCCCATTCTCTCTTTGAATAGAGCTGCGGAAGCTTTAAAGATTACATGAGCAAACTGAGATCCCACCTTTCTGTTTGGGTGGATATTAAAGATCCTCTGGCAATATTTGCAAACAGAATTGAGTTTCTCCAGCCCAGGTTTCTGAATCAGAGGTGAGAGTGCTACAAGCTGAGACAGCCTGCTATAATGTGAAGCCCACCGTTTGTTTACCTTATAATCAAGTTACGTTACCTCTAGCTCCGCCTGATACTTGTCACCTTCATCCTTGAAACTTCGTTTCAGAAACACCTGGAGAGCTTCAGACCGGCACCGCTCGTGCACTGTGAATAACGCATCCACAGATTGTATCGGTGGCTTCACTTCATTCATCGCTTCCTTGTAAAAGTCCAATGCTTCCCTCACTGCAGCCGTGTTTTCAATCTTAGACATTGTTGTTACTGCATTCTCAAGACACGGCACCCGCCCACTGCAGATCATCGTCACATAGGTGGTCACCATCGGAGCCAACACTGGAAGTAAAGAGAGATTTTAGAGATTACAGCACAGAAGATCATTCGCTCCTTTATCACTCGCCATCATGTATGTGCTGGGTCACGCTAACGTTCTCTTATCTCGTTCCCTGCCCTTTCGCAATAAATATTTGCTGACATTCCGACAAGTACTAAAATCCCCTCTTCAAATGCGATGTTTGCCTGATGTAGTCTGCTCGTTCTCGTTCTCCACTGGAACTCTCCAGTTTATTTTTTTCCCAGGTATGACTGCCAGGTTATGCAGGTTCCTACTTACGCATGTGTCGTAGGACAACTTGTCCAACATTTCACCGTGCCGGGTATCGAACCATGGTTCCTCGCGTGCGGGACGATTGCTCTAACCACTGAGCTCCTGAAGTCCACACATCTATCTTAACACCTTCATACTTTTATATTCCTCTGCCTGTGTTTGCCTTATGTAACACACTTCCACCTGCCTTTGATGAAGCAATAACTCCTGCACTTCCCAATTACTCTCACTCATATTAATTATATTGATCTTGAAGCAGTGACGCTCGAGTTATTCCACAGTATTATGTGGAAACATCTTTCCAACTCATTCAGCTGGATCATGTGTCATCAGTTTTTCTCAAAGTTTGGTCACAACGACAACAACAACAACAACAATAAGTCTAGAGGTCGTCCCAAGGTGCTGGACAGATGGGTCGGGACCCGAGCAGGGAGGAAACGGTCAAGGTGAGGCGAGGGAAGGGAGGGAGCGAGGAGGCGTTAGAGAGTCGAGCGGGTTGCTGAAGGGACGGTTGAAGAGAAAGGTCTTGAGACTGGCCTTGAAGGACGAAATGGAGGAATCAAGGCGAAGCCATTGGGGTATGGAGTTCTAGAGCGCCTCGGGGCTGAGAGTCTGAAGGCCCGGTCACCGATGGTAGGTCGGTTAGGGCGGGTGATGTGGCGCATACTGGAGCCAGAAGAACGGAGGTTTCGGGCAGGTAAGCAGTGGGCTAGAAGGTTGGAAATGTAGGAGGGTATAAGGCCGTGAATGGCCTTGTAGGTGAGAATGACGATCTTGATTTCAATCCTCTGGGGGATGGGGAAACAGTGGAAGCGAGCGAGGGTGGGAATGATGTGGCCTCTCAGATTTGACCTCTTTCTCTGCGGTTACAGATGATCCTCGTAGGTACTTCCTACGTTGATTCTGACTTTACCAGCTTGTGGCTGGCAAGACAAATCGATTTTGTGAAATAGAATTTGAAGTCCAAAAGCTTTATTGCTTGGCTGTATTACGAAGAGCCCCAGCTCATGGCAGTGCCATGCATGAATGTCACCCAGCTTCACTCCAAGGCAATCGTGGAGCAGAGCTCAGGGTGAGCTTATAACAGATGGGTCATTATCTGGAGAAAGAAATGTACAGAAATGTATACTCCACAATATCTTTGAAATCAGAGGAGCCTCCAGTAATTTTTCAACTAGCCCGAGGATCTTGAATGTAAATCTGAGCGTTTATAAGACATACTTTTCCCAGTCACTTCACGGCCGTGTGTGTCTCTCTTTGTCTGTGCCTTCCTGTATATATAATCAGCAAACGTCCTGGTGAACTTCTTAAAGACAGGATTCTTCACAAAACATTTTCGCTTGTGGAAGAAACTCATGATGCGTTCTCTTGGAAGGTTGTGCTCGATGTTTCTCTTGCTCACATCTGGGGGAAGTAGAAAGATCCCTCTCAGATGTGATCTATTTACTGAGATGTTGTCATGGATGTGAGAATATGGCGATCAGGAAAGCCTGGTCAAGCCCACGCATTATATTCTGGAGATGAGATGAGTGAGCGGAGACATGATTGAGGTGTTTAAATTTGTGAAATTATTTGACAAGGTGCCTATAGATAAACAATGAATCCTTGCATTTTCTATGGTCAGACGATGAACTAGACTATGCCCAAAACGAGTGGGATAAAATATGTTTGCTAACAGCAGATCTGATAGGTGATCTGTGTGGGCCGTCGTCATAAATAAGGTGGTGAGAATGTTGAACTGCTCTATCGGAACGTGTGCCTTTAACAGAAACTATGAACGTATCTGGTAAATCATATAATGCACACCTGAGGCAGAGCGGAATAGATGGGTACAGGCGAGCGAATTGTGGAAAGATGAACGCTCCAGATTAATCTCGATGAGCCAGTTGGCTCGTTTCTTTGAAGCACCAATCAGTGAGAGGTTAGCCTCAACCTGAGTCAGTTTGGCTCACTTGGTAGCAGTTTCGCCTCTGAGTTGGAATGTTCCAGCTCCACATCAGGTAGAGCGTTGCATTGTGGGATTGTTCAAACTCGACAGCAGCGATTTTACGTCCAATTTACATTGCAGTGAATTCTTGAGGGAGCGCTGCATTGTGGGATTGCATGCCTTCCCATAGAACTTCACTGGAGTTCTATGGCCACATCCAACCATACCTCTTTGACTGCTTACCCGGTTTCAATCTCAGAACGTACTCCAAATATTCATCCGCAGTCACGGGAGTCCCATTTATTTCCAGTTTCAAAGTGAGGTCCATAACTGTCCACACGAAGCCGGCGAGGACGTTGTCATACTGGGAGGGATCATACTTCCCATTTGACGACTTGCCTTTAATGAGCTCGGTCAATTCGATGAAGTAGCTGAGACACGGTGAAGGAAGCATAGGCAAAAGAGAACTGAAAGATTTTCAGGAAAGCAGCTCCAGGAAGAAAGAAATGACCTACAAAAAGAACACTTTTAGGTCTACACATGACAAGTGAAGTTTAGCATAATTAAGATCCGGGAGTATAAAAATTAAGTGCTCCACGGCTGGGATTGAACAGCGCCAAGAACAATAACAAAATTACATTTGTAAAGCGCCTTTCATGTAGAAAATACGTCGCAAGGAGCCGAACCTTCAGAGATCAGGACCTGAGTGGTGGTGGTGCGTTAAGTGGGGGACCGTTGGGATGAAAGAAGGCAGAGGGGTTAGGAAGGTTGCTGAAAGCACGGTAAGAAAGGAGTCGTGCTTTAAGGAAGCAAGAGATGGAGAAAGGTGAAGGATTATGGCATGGAATTTCAAACCGTGGGGGAATGAGCTGAAAGCCCGTCTGCGGATGTTAAGGCGGAATGGGCAAGAGGCCGGGAGCAGGCCTGATCCTGCTAAGCGGATGAAGCTTGGACAGAAGGGGCTCAGCAGTTCAGAAATACAGGAGGGAGCAAGGCCGTAAGGGGCCTTAAAAGTTAGGGTAATAGAATGCTGATTTTTAATTCTATCCTCTGAGGGATGCTGAGCCAGTGGAGTCGGGCGAGGGTGGGGTATTGGGGTCAAGTAACCTGGTGGTGAAGAGGATACGTGCTGCAGTTTCTTGAATTATCTTCGGCTTGAGGAGGCAAGAGTTGGGTATGTCAAAAATGAGCAAATTTGCATAATCGAGTTTTGAAGTGACGGTGCGTGTATGAGGGCTTTTCCGTCATGAGGTGTGAGGACGTGGAGGACTTGGGCACTGTTGTGGAGGCAGGAGAAGGCAGAGCAGGTCTTTACAAGTATATGAGGGATCAAAGACAGTTAAGCGTCGAACAAGACTCCCAGGTTGCTAAATATATTGGTGTGGTGGTGAGTGCAACCAAGGAGGATGATGCTGCCAGTACCTCAGGTGCTGAGGCGCTGGCACGAGCTAAACAGGAGGGCATCAGTCTTGCTGATATTTAGCTAAAAAATGTGGCTCTCATCCAAGACTGACTGTCAGATCGACAGTATGTCAGGCCATCAGTTTTCATGGAATAGATTTTGGAGGCAGAGAAATAGAGTTTCATCAGTTTCATCAGCGTATGTTGACTCCATGGGGTCGAGGAGGACGGGGATTCAGAGGCAGCCCTGTATAAATATGGTCAGGATATCGTTGGCGACCTTGACCAGAGCAGTTTCTATGCTGTGGGCAGCACCGAAACCCGATTGCATAGTGTTCATGGAGAGAGTGAGAGGCGAGGAAATAGCGAATCTGGTAGGCAACGGCTCTCTCAAGGACCTTGGGTAGGAAAGGAAGGTTTGAGATGGTCCGGTAGCTGGAGAGCTGTGATCGGTCAAGGGAAGGTTTCTTCAAGTTGGGGGAGATAATGGCTATTTTTAGGGTTGAAGGAAAAGTGCCAGATGATAGGAAGTGGTTAACGGTGTAGGCGATTAATGGGGCAAGGAGTGGAGCGTGTAGATATTGAAAAGTAGTGAAACGCACATAGAGCGATGAAGAGCACGGCACGAGGTTCTTCACGGGCTAGAAGAGAAACCATTGGCGTGTACAAATTGTTGACGTAGTGATAGATAAGACCTGAAACTGATAAAATGCTGGAATGCATCGAGTCCAAATTCGAGGGAATCCGCTCAGCTGCTACTGGCCTCCCGGCTTCCACCCCTTCCCTACAACAATGGCACACAATCACCCATGCGGCATTAACTCATGCCTCCTTCCACACCTTTGTACCTGTCAACCCCTCCGCTGGTTTCACCACCACAACCTCGATGAAGTCCAACTCCTGCTCCCTGGAACACATCCCCATCCCTTTGACAACAAATTTGACCCTGGAGTGTCTTTCTCACCCACATCTACGCCACGACCGGCACTGTCTACCACCAACAAATTGCCAAACGCCGCCACTGCCTCACCCCTGCCGAAACCCTGGTCAAGGCATTCGTCACATCAAGACTCGATAAACTCCCTCCTCTTTGGCCTTCCGCACTCTTCCCTTCACAAACTGCAGATCGTACAAAACTCTGCAGCTTGTGCACTCTCACGCACCAGGCTCTGTGACCCCATCAGTCGCAGCCTCCACCGACTCCATTGGCCTCCCATTCCCCAGTGGATGAAATTCAAGATCCTGATCTTCACTTTCAAGTCCATCCATGTCCTTGACGCCCTCATAACTCTCCGACCTTTTGATTTCCAAATTACCCGCTCCCTCCGTTCAACATGCTCCAGACTGCTACATGTCTTCCGATCGACCCGCCCTGCCATCAGTAACCGAATTTCATCCTCTCGGCCCCCGTACTTCGGAAGTCCATCCCTCGGTCCCTTCGCTTCGCTTCCTCTTTTACCTCTTTCAAAGCCAGAGCTAAGATCATTCTCTTCGATCGTACCTTTGGTCGCTCTCCACCTCTCTGCCCTCCCTCAACCTTAAACCTGCCCTTCCCCCATTCGGGTTTCCAGACAGCTGACTGTTCAGCCATTTGGGACGTCCTCCCGACGTTATAGGCGCTCTATAAAGGTAATTTTGTTGTTGCTTGTGTTGAAACATTCAAGCACAGAAACTTGCAGTATGAGGTGAGAGGAGAAGGCTGGAATGGTCTTCGGTATCGAAGGCATTAGATAGGTCGCCCTGAAGAGGAGACAGAGAGACACTGATCACAGATGCACAAAATGTCGTCTGTCACCTTGAACAGAGCGGATTCTGTGCTGTGAGCAGCATGGTAACCTGATTGGAAGGAGCAGTGTAGCGAGTAGCAGGATGGGAATGAGCGAAGCTGGGACGCAACGACTCTCAAAGAATTTCGAAAGTAAAGAAAGTTGGAGATGGGCCTGTAGCTGGAAGGCGGGGAGGGTCCACTGAAGGTTTTTTTAGGATGGGTATGATTGCAGCTGTTTCAAAGGGATGGGAACGGTACCAGACAAAGGGAGGGACTGATGATTAGAGCCGTGAGTGGATGGAGCTGGGTAGCAAGTGGAGGGTTAGGGATGGCGTCAAATGAGTAGCTAGTGCGCTGCATGCTACGTATATTGTTGATGATAGAGGTGGTCCCGATAGTTTCGAAAATGTGGATGTAGGGTTTGGTAGGATTCGGAGTGAGGCTGCGGGGTGTTGGTGGAAGATGTGGAGGATGTGACTGTTGGGAGCGTGTAGACAGATGAATGGATCCCCTTGAATTTGGACTAGAAGAAATCCAGAATCTGCTCATTGTCAGGGCTCAGGTAATGCATGGGTGAGCCATAGGAGGGTGGACGAAGCAAACGGTTGGTGTTGGGTATTAGAAGCCTACGGTTATATTTCGCACAAAGATTCAATTGCAGTTGAAAGATAACTTGGAGGAGGCGAGGGCGGAGCTGCATATTTTGATGTATTCCAACCACATTTGCCGGTGCACCATTCGGTGAGATTTGAGACAGGTTGTTTCAGTGGCCCGCACCTGACCACTAGGGGAGCGGATATGGCTGGAGTACTATGGAAAGTTTCATGAGTATTGGGCATTTCAGGAGTTGAAGAGGACAAGGGCATCAATAGTGATGGAGAGGGAGTTTGGGAGCAAAGTAAACGAGGAGTGTAAATCAGAGCGGAAATAATTCCAGTGGGTGAGGAGTTCAGATAACAGCGGAGAGGGATTGTGGGGAGATTATGTACAAGGCAATAGGATATGCTGGTGGCTGGTGTGAACTCGCCAAAAGGGAAGTTGAAAGAGAATGTAAGTTGACTCGTCAAACAGCGGCAGGCGGGACTAAACAAGTCAATCATGTTGTTGAGTAATAATGCTTCGACAGTTGGGTTTAGATACCCAGGTGTCATTCTAACTCAGAATTTTCCTTTGGCTTGGGCACACCTGGATTCCTGTGGACAACTCTAATCAGATTACACCCGAAGTAATGTGTGCGGCTATGGCGAGCGCACACCTGGAGCACTGTTCAACGCTGTGGTCAGACCACAACTTGACTTGAAATGGACTTTATCGAGTGGTTTAAGACTGTCAAATCTTTGGTAAGGTGGACATCAAAAGGCTCTTTCCACTTGTTGTTTAGTCCAAAACGTGGAAGTACAGGTGCATTTACACAAGATCACGTCTCAGCGAGCTGCACAGTGGTTAGCTTGGACGGCAAGCAACGGAGCAGGGCAATGGGAGGAGACCATAGATAGATCTTTAGCGGAGATGTACAGACAAATAAAGAGACAGAGAGGCAGCGGAATTGAGGCAGGCAGTTACAGAGGTTAAGGTCATGGTCATTCTTGACGTCTTCCTGCACAGTGAGACACAAAATAGTGCTGATCTTCTGTAACATCAGAAGCGCAGTAGTGGCCACACACAAACTGTGATAATGCGAAGTGTCCAAACCAACTCGGCCTCTTAAAATCGCTAAACCCATTCTCCCGTGTGTTAATACGCTGAGGAATTCAATAGTAAATTCACATGATGGATGTGGTGGGACCACACAATGGCTGCTGAAACGAAACGATTTGATAATGCTATGGTTAACTGACGCCGGTTTTTCCGTTAGTTAGTGGATGAAGGATACTGCAGTTTCTCGATGGACCACTGGTTGATGGTTCCTGTGCTGTTGTAGATCAGCGTGCTGCTCAAGAGCAGAGCCAAGGCTGAAATCCATCCGTCATTCTGGCCATCGCCCTGTACGGAGGGACACAAATACCACTGATGTTTTGTCATATCACAAGCAAAGCCATCAGCACACACAGACTGTGATAATATGATTTCAAACGTCATTTAGCATCACTAATAAACCGTTAACAGAGCCTGTAGACGCGAGCGACAAGTGCATAGTCAGCCAGACTGGCTGACAGAAGAGACGCAGGACTGTTGTGAGAACTCGGCGCGAGAGTAGATTCGAGGCCAGAGGGCGAGTGATAAATACCAGCCATCGTGGCAAATACGCGTGAGAGGCCTAGACCTTTCGCTTGGTACATGCCATTGAATTCAATCTGCTCTCTCTTTGTGAAATCAGCAATTTGCGCAAGGGGCGAAAACGCTTTTTTTCAAATATCCCGCCTGGTCCAACAGCCAAAACTCACATCATTTCTGCTTGCTAGTTTAAAATATCGAACAGCTTATGGGACTGTAGGTGTTGACAGGCAGAATAGATCGTATCCTGATGAGTTCTGTGTGTAATGGCCCATCTCTTCCTTTAATGATCAATTTCTGATGTTTTTATTGAAAAAACATTTCCTTCCCGTCATCTGCAGAATTTTTAAATTCTCTCTTTCTCTCTGTTATTCGTTGTCTCGATTCTGTTGCTGTCTTTGTCCTCTCTGTCATGTCAATCTTTTCAAAGTCTCATCTTCTTTGATTATGATGCTCCTAATTCGTTACTTGTGTGAAAATCCCTTACACGTCGAACCATTGCAATCTGGAATATATTACACCATTTGTGTAATATATTGCATCCCTCGCTGAATAGATTAATGTGGCTGTCAGTTGACTTAATAATTCCCACCATATTTTAACTCAATCATTCCCGATCCGTTAGTGTTTTCTTGCTTATGTCAATATTTATCGAATTGTGGTCCCTTATGCCACAACACTCACGCGCGCCACCTTGCCATCCCGCCCTTCCCCACCCCACCGACTCACCGATATCCCCACTATTCCGCCCCCCGGTTGCTATTGATTTCAATCATACTATCGGGAGCTCTATTTGTCACTCTTTTGGCTGCCGATATGGTCCAGATATAAATGACTCACATTCTCAAAGTCGCCCAGACCCTCAGTGTCCAGCAGCACCAGGCATTGCTTGTCGTTCCCAGGGTGAGGCATGCACCACATCCAAATTCCTTTGGTCTCCAACTGAACAGTTGATCCGAGACAGAAGCCTGATTGTCCTGGAATGAAAAGAGGTAATTTATTTCCTCAGAGCTTGCCTGAACCTCATAAAAAATTGCGGTGATCAGAGCCATACACCGTCCTGGAGTCCTGTAGCTCAGTAGTAGTAGTAGTAGTAGTAGTAGTAGTAGTAGTAGTAGAGCACTCGCTTTGCAAGCGAGAGACCGGAGTCCAATTCCAGGCAGGGCGGAACCTTGGGCAACTTTCCATACTCCACACAGAGCCTAATAATAATCCCTCCACAAACCAAAAACAACAATAAAATTGGTCATTTTTCAATCTACGTCTGTTTGTGGGACATTGCTGTGCGCAATTGGCTGCCGCGTTCGCCCATAAATATATAATCAATTCAGTTTACAGTGTGTTCTGTGAAGCGCTTTGGGACGTCCTCCCGACGTGAAAAGCGATAAATCAAATGCAAGGATTATTATTATTATTATTACTCCAGGGTACAGAGATCAGAGCTATAAACAATACTCCAAGATACAGGCTGATCAGAACACTGTACGCAGTTCTCCCAAGCGTGGTACAACGGAGATTTGAACAAATCTTCAGTTGTTTTCTGATTCGTTATATCTTCTGGCACGGTAGACTTCTTCGGGACAAGCGTAAATATATACCATATTTACCAATAAATATATATTTGTTTTTTTTACAATAAATATGTTCTAATAGTTAACACTTGGGCCATTACCTGTCAGACACGTTCTGGTCTTGAAATTCGAATGTGGTACAATATCCATCAAATCTAACCCATAATTTCATTGTTAATATTGGAAGGATTGAGCTCCTAGCAACAGCTATTCCTTCAGCTATTTGTTGGTTGTGATCAGGATTGTTGTCTTTCCATTTGGGATGTTTGATCTGGGCACAAATGGAGGAAGCGGGTATACAGAGATCCCTTAAACACCTGTTTAGCCCTCTCAAGCCGCGCTTGCCTAGGCGGAGAGGAAATCCCGTCACCTGACTTGCTCAGAAGGTCATAAAGAAAGTCTTCAGGCCCACGTTTTCCTTGTAAAGTTTGGAGCCGAGAGAAGGTGCAAAGGGTTTTCGGCGGATGCAACCCATGTTCTATATTGGAATCTAATTAGGTATATTTTGGAGGTGAGTGGGACCTAAAAGTGCTCACCAATATGAAAATTCTGAAACGCAACTCCTGATTCAAATTTGCCCTGCAGCTCGGTGGTTAGTGTCTGGATCTCAAGTGAGAGAAGTTGGTTTCGCTTACGGGGCAAGCCGAAATGTTAGGAAAAATTACCTTATTCTGCACACCTTTGTTTACCTAAAAGTAGGCAGTAACCTCGTTGTTAGTTGATAGGCGGATTGATATATCTGAGGGAGTAATTCCTTCAAAAAATTTAAGTAATGATAATAATATTAAATTAGTCACGAAATCCACACCTGATTGTGTTAAACTGTTGTGCATAATTGGGTGCTACGTTTCAACTATAAATAATACAGTCAACTGACTTTGCAGTATATTCTGACAAACACATTAAGACGGATTGAATAGGTAATAAGGTGCTGCATAAAAAAGCAAGGTTGATTATGATTCATCGGTGAGTTGTGTGTAGCGTCTGTCTGTCTGTCTGTCTGTCTGTCTGTCTGTCTGTCTGTCTGTCTGTCTGTCTGTCTGTCTGTCTGTCTGTCTGTCTGTCTGTCTGTCTGTCTGTCTGTCTGTCTGTCTGTCTGTCTGTCTGTCTGTCAATCTCTGTATGTCTGTCTGTCTGTCTGTCTCTCTGTCTCTCTGTCTCTCTGTCTCTCTGTCTGTCTGTCTGTCTGTCTGTCTGTCTGTCTGTCTGTCTGTCTGTCTGTCTGTCTGTCTGTCTGTCTGTCTGTCTGTCTGTCTGTCTGTCCGAAAGGAGGGAGCAACAGGGTTAATTGTAAACGATTGCCAACCTGTAAGTAGAGGATGGCAGAGCCTGACCTGTCCCACGAGTGTAACTGCTCCCTGCAGATAAAGTCAGCCGAACGCCCGCCAGGGGACAACTTGTTGCCCCACCTCAATGCGGTTCCTCCAACCACAGGAGCATAGGAAGAATAGAAGGCCATTCTGGTCTCCGTGGCTATTACGCCATTTAATTAGATCATGGCTGATATGTACCTCAACTAATCCATTCAATTCCACTTTTACGCTTGTTCCCCATATTCCATAATACCCTGACCTACCAAAAATCTGTCGCTTCACTCACGAAGGTTTGGATGGATCCAGCGTCCACAGCCTTTTCGGCGAGAGAATTCCTGATTTCTAGTATCCTTTGTGGTAAGAAATTCTTCTTGATTTCACTCTATAATGGCCTGGTTCCAATTTTAAGGATATGCACCCTTGTTCTGGATTCACCCACCAGAGGAAATAACTTTTATCTGGCTACCCGATAGAATCCGTGATCATCTTAAATACCTGTATTAAATAACGCCTCAAACTTCTAAGCTGAAGGAGCTTGCAAGTTGACCACCACAAAGTGCGGCGTTGCTCAGGGCTCTGCCTTTGGTCCCCTCCTCTTAAATCTCTATATGCTCCCTCTTGGTGGCATCATCCGCCGACATGTGGTCAACATTCACCTGTATGCGGATGACACGCAAATCTAACTGTGTAGTATCTGTCTGCCTCATCTTTCTGCATGTCTGTCTGACTCTCCTCTAACAGGGGCAACACCCAATGCCGTAAATAATTGCCATCCTGAACATCAAGAAGGTCGGAACCGGGACTGATCTACCTTTATAATTGCTCCCTGTAGATATAGGCAGAACACTGGGATTGGAACCTTGGTTCCCCCACCTCAATGAGGTGCTGTGGCCCTTCAAACAAGAAAGGTTTGGGTTAATAGTGTACACCAGGGCACCAGATGTTGTCCTCACAGGATTTATGAGACGCATGCACATGTTTAAGCTGCAGAGACACGGTTGCGGTGTTACTAACGAGCGTAGTTGAAATGTGTTCGCTTTGCACTTATGTGTGTCGGTAGCGACCGGGAGGGGGTAAGGTACAACTTGTAACTACAAATGTACACGCTGTAGAGCCGCCACCCGTCGGTCTGTTGTGTAACTGGAGCTTCATGACTTTTGTTTTTACTTTTCGAGGACGGGAATTTTTCTGAGATATACATGTCCAATCATCGAAAACATACTTGGTTATCGATAAAAAAATCTATATAGGCTTACTTAACATGTATGAAACAGGCAATGAGTTGCATGGTACCTCTCTGTTTTCCAGCCAAGTTGTTCATCGGATAAGACTTTCTCGTGCGGTACAGTCCGATTATTGCCACAACCACAACAGGCTGGTTTATCTGTGAGAGGATCTTCAACGCCTCATCATTCACCTGCAGGTTTCCATAGCCTGAGTTCTTGATCAAACAGACCGGACCTTTCTTCTCAGACATCTTCTCTTCTTCATCTTTATCCATCTTGGCAGCCGTTTCACTGCGGCAGAGCTGGGCTGGTCTCTAATTCCTATTTTACAATACATGATTCTCATTTTAAATATCATTTCATTCATAGTCGAATTGTACAATTATTCTTGCAATGGACACACCACGGTATCGTACCGTCAAGACACCTTATAGCTCTTCGCTGGATTTATTACAAAATGTAGCTTATAATCCGTAGGGGAGAGCCTACCGCTAATTTACACACAGCGATTTTGCACATTGTCCCACAATCAGCCATAAAGTTTATGATCAATTTTGAATGGTCAGGACATTAGGAGAGAAAACCTCTTCTATCTCCCATCATTACCATGGAATATTTCATGTTCAGCTGCACAAACACAGATGTTACATCTGTTTGTTACCTCTTGCGAAAGACGGCATCTAGAACAAAGCACCATAGCGTCAGTGTTGTCCTACAATGTCAGCTGGACAAGGTGTTTTCAAAATTGTGGCACATAATTTAGTGATAGATGGATGGAAACTGTAATCTCCAAGGAGCGTAAGATGAAGTGATCGTCCTCGATTTATTGACATCTATATGGAAGGAATATTGTGTACATTGACCGTCTACTTGTGTCAGAAATTGCTATACAATGCAGGGAACTTTTACAATAAAACCCATCACAATCTGGTTTGGTTTCATTGTTATTTCATATGTCCATTGCTGTTAAAGTTTAACCAACTAACTAAATTAATACATACCATTTGCAAAATGCCTCTGATGCGAGTAATGTCTTTAGATATTCCATCGCTGCTCCCGTGTCACCCACAGAGATACCCTCACTTTTCGATCCGTAGGGTATACAAAGCGTCTGTGCACAGATCTGAAAACACAGCAACATCATAGCGATACAGTAATTCACAAAGCCAACCTAAGAAATCAGAGTGGCCGAGTGGAGGAAACAAATAAAGCGAGATATCGAAGGGTGGTTGTTGGAGTCTGGTTGGGGTGGTGTTGGGTGGGAATAAAGAGACAGAGGAAGAAAGGAAGGAAGTAATAAAAGACAGAAGAGAGAAAGAGTGAGAAATAAAGAGTCATGGAGAAAGAAGCAAAAGGAACGCATGAAACAGCTGGAAAGAAATGGAGAGAGGAAGCAAGGAAGGACTATAATGTTAGAAGCTGTCTTTCAGCTAAAATGTTTAACCAGAAAGAATCGTCCGGTTCTGGTTATGATACTGCTGAAGAAAAGTGAGTTTCTACTCATGTTCTGGCCTGCAAACTGTCGGCCACTTTTTTGCACTTGAATAATAATTTCGATGAAGCTGACAAACAGAAACGTAGGCTGTTTAATAAGTAAACATGTAAACCCTAAGCGTCCGTGCCAATATCTACACTTAACATGAGACACTAACATTTCTATTCTGCACACTCAACCTTCCTAAGTCAGTCCAGATCCATGGCAACGTGTTTGACCCTCAACTATCCTATCTACCGTACAACTGCACCATGACCCGCTTCACCTTCCCCCACCTCCGCAACATCGACCGGTTCTGCCACTTTCTCACTCCAGAGGCCGCCTAAATCCTCACACATGCTTTCATTATATCGAGGCTTGACTACGCAAACGCATTGCTTGTCGGCCTCCCCATCTCCAGCTTCCATAGCTGCAGATCATCCAGAACTCTGTCTCAACCCCTTGTGCGCAACTTCTTGCCACGTTTCACCAAAAGATACACATATCTCTTCACTTAACAGTACACGGTGTGACGTGCTTTGAGACGTCTCGTGGACGGGAAAAGCGCTCTATCAAAGGGAAGTATTATTATTACTAATTATGATTATTATTTATTTTCCTAAAGGTCACTGTTCACTTCTCCCACATGGATCCAAACTTACACTAGATACTGTTTAGTTAACTTGTTAGATCAGAAAAGAGGACTCACCTCAGCGAGCCAGTCCGGAAACTTTAATCGGATCTGCCACTGTCACACACATCAGGCCGCCAAAATCCTCAATCATGGCAGTTGAGCTCGACTACGCAAACTCCCTACTTGTCGGATTTCCCAATTCTCCCCTCCACATGCTGCATATCACCCCGACCGCAACAGCTCCTGTCCTCTCCTATTATGCTCTGTAACCCTAACGCTCCCAGTTCCACTGTCTCTCCTTCCCCAGAAGATAGAGTTCACAATCGTTGTCTTAGCCTTCAAGGCCGTCCACGGCCTTGTCCCTCCCCAACTCGCGATCCAACATCAACGCGTTCGCTCCATCTGCTTAGCAAGCAATGGCTTTTTCCACGTCGCCCGCCCAGCTCGCTCCACCTTAGGCGGGCGGGCATGCACTCTTTCTGCCCTCACCGTATGGAAATAAAATTACATTCCCTTCGCCTCGCTCCATCTTTTGCCTTATTTTACGTGTATCAAAACACTCCATTTTCACCTAGCCATCGTCCTACGTCCCTCGTCTCCATCCGCTCAGATACGTACCCCCTTTTCTGGTCTAAATCCCTTACTGTGTCCAGCGTCTTGGCACATTCTCCACGCGTGAAAGTTGCTATAGTAATGCTACAGATGAGGTGGATCAAAACTGATTCGATTTGTATCATTATGTTAATCATTAGATGAAGTTACTGAGACAACGTCGAAGATATATCGAGTCTGAAAACCAATTGACATACACCACGGCTGCTCATTTGATAACATCTGAGGTTCTCTCTCACATCTGTGCAATTATCCTTTGTTGAATATACTTAATAGGTTACGCCAGTGATATGTTTAGCTGTTCAAGGTTTCATATCATTTATAGAAATCAACTGCTTCCACTCGTTGAGTTCATAACAGCAAAACAAAAATATAAGAGAGCGTCTAGGAATGTACACAACAGCGAAATTTACATAGCTTCTTCACACCGAATGGTGATTTATAGTGCTTTGATTTGTGAGGAACTCATTGAGGCAGAGCATAGAGAAATTCTATCACAAGCTGCTTGAAGTTTTAGTTGAATCAGAGAGTAAAGGGCAGTTTACGGGAAAGATATATCATAAAGTGAACTAGAGGTGTACATCAAGGTGTAAAGAATTGGTGTAAAGTGGCGTAGGATGTAAACCTCAGCACGGTTTGGTTAAACCACTTGTCTTTCCATGCTCCAAGCAAATTGCAAATAGTTTCAGACCTAAACGCTAGCAAATGATTCTTTGCAGTTCGCATATACAACGTTAAATCTTTTAATTCTTTCTATGTGAAAAGATTTTTTCCAAATATAGGAATAGAAGAAAACGGTGAGGAGGATAGTAGCAGAAAGTAAGAGGACAAAGGCAGATTGATAAATGGGCAGACACGTGCAGATGAAGTTTAACGAGGAGAAATGCGAAGTGATGCGTTTTTCGATAAAGATGAGAGATAACGTAAGCTACGTGGTACAATCTTAAAGGGAGTGGTGGTGAGATCTGGTGGGTGCATTGCCATATAATTAATATTTGAAAGCGGCTGCATAGGCACACAAAGCTGTTAAAGAGGATAGAGGAGACCAGGGTTTATAAATAGGGGCATAGAATACAAGTCAGGAAATTATGAGGAAGCTTTATAAAACATTGGTTAGGCCTCAGCTAGAGATAGTGTTCAGTTCTGGCGAAAACACTTCAGGAAGCACGTCAAGGCTATTGAAAGGGTGCAAAATAGATGTACCATTATGGTACCAGGAGTGAAGGACTTCGGTTATGAGCAAAGGCTGGAGAAGCTAAGATAAAACTCCTTGGAGCAGAGAAGCTTAAGAGGAAACCTAAGAGAACTGTTCAAACTTATGAAGGATTGTATGTATTGAACAAGGAGAAATTGTTTCCACTGCCATGTGGGTTGGTAACCCGAGGACACCGTTTCATAACAGACGTTGAAAGAAACAGAGGAGAGGTGAGGAGAATTTGTTTCACACAGCGAGCTGTGCAAATTTGGATTGCATTGACTAAACTGGGGGTGGAAACCGTTTCGAATAAAACTTTTAAGAGAGAAATAGTTAATTATTTGTGGAGGACAAGTTTGCAGGGCTATGCGAAGGGCGCGGTGGAATGGAATTGATTTGCGTAGCGCTTTTAAAAGAGCAGGCACGAACACGATGGGAAAAAATTTTCCTGTGCTGTATTATTCTTGATTCTATGATTATTTCATTTTCAGATTAGCGAGAGATCGCTTCACAAAAGCACGGACGTTGCTGTGAGCCCCCAGGCTCTGGAACTCTATCCCCCAGTGCCTTCGCGTTGCCTCCTCCCTTTTCTCCTTCAAGGCCGGTCTCAAGACCTTTCTCTTTGACCGTGCCTTCAGCTCCCTTCTCGACTCTCCAACCCTCCTCGCTCCCTCTCTTCCCTCCACTCATCCTGACCATTTCCCCCTGCTCGGGTCCTGACCCAACAGTACAGCGCCTTGGAACGTCCTCCCGATGTGAAAGGCGCTCAATAAATGAAATCTTTTTATTGTTTTTGTTGTTGTGAGCAAATTGTATGCCAAGTTCGCCATAAGCTACACTGTTACTTCACTTGATAACGGGGTTTGATCCCGAAACTTTGTAGATTCAAGTTGAGGCTATCAGGAAAGCCTCAACATGTTTTTAGTCGTTTCTGTTCAAAAGGGAAAGGTATGGGGTGACCTGATAAGGGTCTTCATAATTATAAATATTTTTGGTAGGGAAGAGAGAGAAGGTGATCGCACTTGTAATGGAGTAGCTACACATCCTAAACGATTGCCTGTAGATCCAATAGGCAATTCAACACCATCAACAGCACCAAAAAATACATTTATGGAGCGCCGTTCACGTCGGTAGGACGCTCCAAGACTGAGGGAGCGGTGGTTTAGGGGTAAGGGAAGACAGAGAGGGTGGAATGAGACCAAAGGCACAATCGAAGAGCAGGGTCTTGATACCGGCCTTGAAGGAGGCGAGGGAGGAAGCGAGGCGAAGGTACCGTGGTATCGAATTCCAGAGTGTGGGGCAAGAGAGGATGGAAGCCCGGCCACCGATGTTAGGGCTGATTAGGAGGGAGACATGGAGCTGGGCGTAGTCCGCTGATTGCAGGAAGTGGGCAGCTTGTTAGGGAATCAGCAGGTCAGAGAGGTAAGAGTGGGCAAGTCCACAGATGGCCTTTAAGGTGAGGACGACGATCTTGAACTCAATCCTCTGGAGAATGAGGAGCTGATGTAGTCGTGCGAGGGTGGGGGTGATGGGGTCATGCAGCCTGGAGAAACACCTTTACACAGAGTGTGAAGCGAATGTGGAACTTGCTACCAAAAGCAGTCGTTGATATTTACACGAGACAGCAAGGAATAGAAATTTATGCTGATAGGTTTACTTGAGAAAGGGCAGGAGGAGTCTTATGTGGAGAATAAGTGCTGGCATAGACCAGTTGGGCCGAATGGCATGTTTCTAAATGTTGCAGTACATTCTAAATGCATTCGTTTCATTTCAGAACCGAAGAATTTTTCCTTCTAAATATCGGTTCCAAACGATTATCTAAGCGCTGATCGTGAGTGATCAGATAGGAGTACAAAAATTGTGATCAGCCTTAGGTGCAAGATGCTTCTCTGGACAGATCACACATGTCTGTTTCAAATCATGTCTTGTCACAAGCGACACAACGTACATCAAGCGCTAAATAATAAAAGTTGTTTAGTATATCCAGAGCTTACATGGATATAGCGCCACTTCCTCAGGGTAGGGTCCCAGCGCTAGACTACAGGTATCACGAAATCTCATGTCATAAAATTAACAGCAATGGCAATAATCCTTGCATTATATATAACACGTTTCACGTCGAGAGGAAGAATTGCTTTTGAACTTCGTTCCTTGTGGCAAGTTACTATAGAAATGCACGTAGTTTATTTACCTCTATGTACACTATGG